AATTTTAAATTTTATTTTTTAAAATTTACATCCAAATTAGTTAGCATATAGTGAAACAATGATTTCAGGTGTAGATTCCTTAGTGCCCCTTAACCCATTTAGCCCATCCCCCCTCCCAGAACCCCTCCAGTAACCCTCAGTTTGTTCTCCATATTTATGAGTCTCTTCTGTTTTGTCCCCCTCCCTGTTTTTATATTAGTTTTGTTTCCCTTCCCTTATGTTCATCTGTTTTGTCTCTTAAAGTCCTCATATGAATGAAGCCATATGATTTTTGTCTTTCTCTGACTGACTAATTTCACTTAGCATAATACCCTCCAGTTCCATCCATGTAGTTGCAAATGGCAAGATTTCATTCTTTTTGATTGCCGAGTAATACTTCATTGTATATATATACCACATCTTCTTTATCCATTAATCCGTCGATGGACATTTGGGCTCTTTCCATACTTTGGCTATTGTCAATAGTGCTGCTATAAACGTGGGGGTGCATGTGTCCCTTTGAAACAGCACACCTGTATCCCTTGGATAAATGCCTAGTAGTGCAATTGCTGGGTCATAGGGTAGTTCTATTTTTAGTTTTTTGAGGAACTTCCATACTGTTTTCCAGAGTGGCTGCACCAGCTTGCATTGCCACCAGCAATGCAAAAGAGATCCTTTTTCTCCACATCCTTGCCAACATCTGTTGTTGCCTGAGTTGTTCATGACAGGTGTGAGGTGGTATCTCATTGTGGTTTTGATTTGTATTTTCCCAATGATGAGTGATGTGGAGCATTTTTTCATGTGTCGGTTGGCCATCTGGATGTCTTCCTTGAAGAAGTGTTTATTCATGTCTTTTGCCCATTTCTTCACTGGATTATTTGTTTTTTGGGTGTTGAGTTTGATAAGTTCTTTCTAGATTTTGGATACTAACCCTTTATCTGTTATGTCATTTGCAAATATCTTCTCCCTTTCTGTCGGTTGCCTTTTAGTTTTGCTGATTGTTTCCTTCACTGTGCAGAAGCTTTTTATTTTGATGAGGTCCCAAGAGTTCATTTTTGCTTTTGTTTCCCTTGCCTCCTGAGACGTATTGAGTAAGAAGTTGCTGTGGGCAAGATCAAAGAGGTTTTTGCCTGCTTTCTCCTCAAGGATTTTGATGGCTTCTTGTCTTACGTTTAGGTCTTTCATCCATTTTGAGTTTATTTTTGTGTATGGTGTAAGAAAGTGTTCCAGGTTCATTCTTCTGCATGTTGCTGTTCAGTTTTCCCAGCACCACTTGCTGAAGAGACTATCTTTATTCCACTGGATTCTTTCCTGCTTTGTCAAAGATTAGTTGGCCATACGTTTGTGGGTCAATTTCTGGGTTCTCTATTTTGTTCCATTGATCTGAGTGTCTTCTTATGCCATCTTTCAGTCTTTCGAAAATAAATAAATGTTTTAAAAAATTAAAAAAAGAATCCCATGCTGTACCAACTGAGCCAGCCAGGTGCCCCAATTTTTCTGTTATATTTTGTATTAAAGTTAGAATTATCAACTCTAAAGCATTGTAAAAACTTATAATCTCAGTCCCTAATGCCATTCTTATATTACATATTACTCAGCAATTATTTCATTTTTGTATACAGTTGCAGTTACAGAGTATATGACATTTTGGATTCTGCCATTTTTGTCCTAAAAGTACAAACCTAAGACATTAAGCTAATGGACTGTGATCTCTGATTGCTTCTCTTTTGAATTGTGCCTGTGTGGAGGGGCAATTTCAAAATTTGAAGAGTAACAGATCATAAACCAAGATGTCCTTTTCGAATTTTCTTTGAAAACAAATTAGACTTTGCTTGCATCTTGGTCAGGGAGTGGCCTTCTGTGGCTTCCTCTGCCGTGGGCTGTGTGGCCTAGTGTCCCTGTCCCTACCACCTGTGATCACACACCAAGGCCCGTAAGGGATTGGTGCCAAAGTTTCCATCAGCCTACAAGCAACAGCATGGCAGTCATCCTCTCCAGTGGCTCGCTCATGGCCACCCATGACTAATACTGGTGCCTCCAGGGTTCCACTTCCAGTAACAGGTCCTGCATAAGTGCAGAGTATCCTGGGGAAGCCATCCCTTACCACCCTGGTCTCCCCAAGGCTGACTTGGGTCAGTGGTAAGCAAGCTTCTTTTTTCAGGAAGTCTACTCTCCTGTTCATGGCTACAGTGTTGGAATCCCCAGGCCTCCAATGGCACGATCACCTGTGACTTGGCTCTGGAAACCATGAGGAAGCAGCCTGGTGGCCAGCCTGGCAAAGCCAGCACAGCCCTGAGTGGCCACTACCAGCTACTAGGCTTTAGGAGACCCTAAGCTCATATCACAACCCCTACCCATCTTTCCCCTCCTCATAGACTAGGTAGGCTGCAGCAAGCAGAAGCAGTTGGGTTCTTTTATATCAAAACGGCAAAACACCAAAAAGGAAGTTGAGAGAACCCCACTCTTTACTTTCTAAGCCACACGCAAGGCATCTTGACATACCTTGTAACCTTGTGCCTTGCACCAAGTGGAAAATAAACTCCAAGCAGCCAATAAAGAAAAAAGAAAGAAAAATCAACATTATATTGTGTGGAAATTAGTGAACCTTTTAACTCTGAGAGTTTGTGATTTTTCTCTGTTAGAAACTGCTATTTGTGCAGTTTTATCCATTTTTAAAAATTGTGGTAAATCTACCTGGCTCAGTCAGTAGAGCATGCCACTCTTGATTTTGGGGTTGTGATTTCAAGCCCCATGTTGGACGTAGAGCTTACTTAAAAAAAATTTTTTTTAATAAAATTGTGGTAAATTGTACATATCATAAAATTCATCATTTTTTTTTTCATTTAAGTGTACGGTTTAGTGACATGAAGTACACTCACATTATTGTGCAGTCATCACCACCATCCATCTCCACAGCTTTTCCTTCTTCCCCAACTGAAACTCTTCCCATTAAACACTGACTCCCTATTCTTCCCTCCCATCAGCTTGTGGCAACCACTATTCTACATTCTGTCTATGAATTTGACTACTCTAGGCACCTCATATAAGTAAAATGATACAATATTTGTCCTATTATGACTGGCCTTTTTTCACATAGCATAGTTTTCAATGTTCATCATAACACGTGACAAGAATTTCTTTCCTTTTTAAGACTAAATAATACTCCATTATGCATAGAAACCACTTTTTATGTTTCCATTCATCTGTCAGACACTTGGGTTGCTTCTATCTTTTGCCTATTGTGAATAAGTTATATCAGTTTTAAAGTGATTTTAAAAGGAACTTTAAAAGTTTTTGCTTAGGGCACCTGGCTGGCTCAGTCTGTAGAGCCGTGCTTCTTGATCTTGGGGTCATGAGTTTGAGTCCCAAGTTGGGCATAGAGAGCTTACTTAATTAAAAATTTTTTTAAATAATAAAATAAAAGCTTTTCTTGTATTTGTTTGCTGTTACAATATTTGAGCAAAGTTAATAAGAACTTAGAATTTTATTTCTAACTACTTTCAGCTTTTAGTTTTATATTACTTTGCATAGTACATGATAAAATTCTACCTAAACAGGGGTGCCTGGGTGGTTCAGTCAGTTAAGTGTCCGACCTCAGCTCAGGTCATGATCTCATGGTCTGTGGGTTTGAATTCCGCGTCAGGCTCTGTGCTGAAGCTCAGAGCCTGGAGGCTGTTTCAGGTGCTTCGGATTCTGTGTCTCCCTCCCTCTCTGCCCCTCCCCTGCTTTCTCTCTCTCTCTCAAAAATAAATAAACACTAAAAAATTTTTTGAATTCTGCCTAAACAGACCTTGTTCTTGTCATGACAGTGATTCTTCTGGACGTAATCATTTTGAAAGAATGATTGCTTCCTTGCTTATTTGTATTAGTATTGAGTATGTATTCCTCATTTATATCCCAAGAAATTGTCTTAATACTTCTATCATAACAAAAAATACATGACTGCAAAAAGTTGGAAAAATATAAACAAAAAAACTCCTTTTATCCTGTAATAACAGCTTAACTTTTTGACTGTGGTCTTCTACTAATTTTCCTGTCTATGTGTATTTACATACTTACTCATAAAGGTGGGATCATACAGCACAACTTTTACTTAATATATTATTAATGTTTTCCCATCTAATTAAATATTTTCTTCCACATTATTTTCTTAAACATCAATAGTGTTTTGTCACATCGAAAATTATTTGAATTAGTCATTGGACTTTTAGATTGCTTAAAATTCCACTTAGGTAAACAAGTCTATTATTATATAAAATAATTATTATGTGCATACATATAGCTATTGATTAAAGGGAGTATTTTTGATATTTCCTTGCTTTCTACTTTCTGTGTCCTTAGAGAACAAAGCAATAGAATTGTAGGAAAAAACTAAATTTAAATTATTAAATCAGTCATCTGAAGTAATTAATTAAGATCATGTATTTGTGTATATTTATTCTTTTTCTCTAAGCAGGTTGGCAACATTGTGCAAATCACCAAGCCAGAAGGAATCTACAGTACTGTTTCAAATCACAGTCAGTATCATTTGATTAGAGTGGGATTTTGGTGTTGGTGGGCAGTAATTATCTGAAGAGAGCATTTACAAATTGCTTCTGTTAACTCCTGTAGGCAGCAAGCATATTTGAGGACAGCTTTTGATGCTTAGAACATTATCCCCAAAATAGTAGTATATATACAGAATATTCTAGTCACAATTGGACTGAAATTTATTCTTAAGAACAGAGGAAATACTTATTTGTAGGCTAGTGTGTTCCATGCCATATGTAATGTCAGGATATTAAAAATTTTTTAAGTGAAAGTTGTTAAAGATTTTCCAAGAAAAAATACTAACACTACTCATTTTAGTCTGTAGATATTATAGATCTATCATAGCCACCAAATATATCCTACTTTAAAATGTTAATTTTCCTATAATTTAAAATCATAGAACACACTCTTTTTGGCTGAAATATGCATATTTATCAGTAGTGTTGAGCCAAATATATTCTTGGCGTCTCATTTTTAAGGACAAAAACAGAAATAGAGATTCTGAAATTGAATCATCGATTTAGTCTTTGTACTGCCTAGGTGCATTTAAAGTATCCTAACCGGAGGGGCACCTGGGTGGCTCAATTGGTTAAGCATCTAACTTTAGTTCAGGTCATGATCTCGCAGTTCGTGGGTTCAAGCCCTGCATAAGGCTCTGTGCTTACAGCTCAGAGTCTGGAGCCTGCTTCTGATTCTGTCTCCCTCTGTCTCTGCCTCTCCCCTACTCATGTGTGCTCTTTCTCTTTGTCTCTCTCTCTCTCTCTCAAAAATAAATAAAACACTAAAATTTAAAGTAAAGTATCCTAACTGGAAAATTTTATTTAGTTGTGAAAATAATTTGTAAAGCACCTAAGTAATTAATACCTGTTACTTCCTTTTACCTCTTCCAATAGAGCCACCATAAAGTTTGTTAGGATTGTCTTTTAGGGACACCTGGGTGGCTCATTTGGTTAAGCATCCCACCCGCTCAGGTTATAATCTCGTGGTTCATGAGTTCGAGCCCTGCATCAGACTCTGTGCTGATAGTTCAGAGCCTGGAGCTTGCTTCAGATTCTGTGTCTCCCTATCTCTCTGCCCCTCCCCTGCTCACGCTCTGTCTCTCTCTCTCTCTAAAAAATAAACATAAATAAATAAAAGGATTGTCTTTTAGAGTATATGTTTATAATGCACTGAAATTTGTATGTGTGTATATATGTATATATATATATGTATAAATAAATACACGCATACATATAAAAAATACTCTAGATATAAAATACTTTAGTACAGCTCTGGTTTGGACACGTACTCATGAGGTTTAACTTCTTCATTCACAGTGGTTGGTAACTTCTGTCTCAGTAAAGTAGCTCTCTTATCAGTTAAAAATATTTGGAAGACCAGTTGTTATTTTAGATGTTCTTAAAGCATACTTATATATTTTTTCATCTTCCAGCCTCAGGGATTTAGAGATGCTGTTGTTGCTCCTGCATGTTCTTGGCAAACAGAAGGTTCATTGAATTCCCGGAAGCGGTCACGAGAATGAGAAGAAGAACAGGAATCCAAAGACTAATCTTAAAGTATACATATGTATTGATGCTGTAAGATGTAATGTATACAAAGTAGTAGACTCATTATAAAATGTAAACACACACTATGGGATGTTTGAATCAAGAGCATAGGAACTGAATGTGAAAAACATTTAATTAGTATGATTCTCTGAATTTTTCAAAAGCAGTTTTACAATTATATTTTGCCCCATTTTCTTTTTTAGTAACATTCAGCAGAAATGATACAGGTATTGTATTTTTGCAGATGTGGAAAGCTGATCTCATGTGGCCAGTGTGAATTTACCATTCAGACTGTTTTTTCCTCTTTTGCTAATTGCATAGAAAACCCTTGGAAGAAAATATTTTTTTCACATTCCTATTTTGTTCTCCTCTTTAAATGTAGTTTTCATAATTCTTAAAAATGACTTGTTTTTATTATTGTAATGAAAAGCCAGCACCATGAGTCAGCATATTATTGTATTCAGTGTTAATGGTAGGATATAAACTTTACATGACCAATGTGATTTTAGTCACCCCAATCCTAAAATCTAACCCATTTGTGTATTTTTTTAATGTTATTTTATAATGTTAAGGGAAGGACTTTGGAGCTGTTACCCTATCTAGAAATTGTCTATAACATACATCTTCCAGAATAGTGAAGTTGATAAATTTACAGTTATTTATCTCTATATTTTTGAAACACGGTGTGATCCATTCTAGAATTCTAGATGTATTGACATTTTCCTTTGAATAATCTTAACACTGTTTGAATGAATTAAAAATTTGGATTCTTGGGGCGCCTGGGTGGCGCAGTCGGTTAGGCGTCCGACTTCAGCCAGGTCACGATCTCGCGGTCCGTGAGTTCGAGCCCCGCGTCAGGCTCTGGGCTGATGGCTCAGAGCCTGGAGCCTGTTTCCGATTCTGTGTCTCCCTCTCTCTCTGCCCCTTGCCCGTTCATGCTCTGTCTCTCTCTGTCCCAAAAATAAATAAACGTTGAAAAAAAAAAATTTGGATTCTTGAATGGTTTTAAAATCATCTAAAAGTGTTTTGGCACCTGATTCTTTTTAGTACTTCTCAATTCATTCACAAAATTTACTCTGGTTCCCAATGGAAGAAAATTATTTAAATAATTGAATATCATGTACTGTGACAACCATGGTCTCCACATTTTAGAGGCAATTGGTATTTCCTCCTCTCCCAGAGTGAACACTAAATTTATAAAGTTTTAAAAAACACAGTTATTCTGTAATTGATTATTCATAGAATAACTAGGGTTTGCCAGGACTTTTTTGAGAATGAAATTAGACACTACTAACAATCACATCAGGACACTGGACATAAACCAGGACCATCCCAGGCAAATCAGGCATATGGTTGTCCTAATTATAGAAGACTAATTTCAAATGACTATTTGAGTGTAGGATGACTAATTATAATTATTTTTGAGGTCTTATATTCTCTATGCTCCAATCACAAAATCAAGACGGGTTATTAGTGATAAATATCAGTGTTACTAGGGAGCAGAACTATAGGAATCTCATTTTATAAAGCATCATAACACTGTAAAGAACTATAGAACCCAGCATATAGACAAAGCCACGTGTATTTCTTTTTGGTTGTAACTTTTTTGTGTGTGTGCAACTCTTTATAAATAAACTTTATATAAATATCCTTTCAAAGTTGTTTTTGCTAAAAACATCACTGTTCTTCTAGTTATAATATACTTAAATCTTAGTCTGCTTGGGCCACAATAACAAAATGCCATAAACTTAAGCAACAGAATTCTCTCACAGTTTTAGAGGCTGGTAGTCCAAGATCAGTGTGCCCGGATCTCTGGTTCTGGTGAAGCTTCTCTTCCTTGCTTGTAGACAACCATCTACTTACTGAGTGCTCACAGGACCTTTCCTTGGTGAATGTGCATGGAGAGAGAGATCTTTTTCTCTTCATCTTTTTTTTTTATTTTTAATTAATATCTATATCTCTTTTTTAACTTGTTTTATTTTTTATTTTTTAAAATCTACACCCAAATTAGTTAGCATATAGTGAAACAATGATTTCAGGAGTAGATTCCTTAGTGCCCCTTACCCATTTAGCCCATCCCCCCTCCCACAACCCCTCCAGTAACCCTCAGTTTGTTCTCCATATTTATGAGTCTCTTCTGTTTTGTCCCCTTCCCTGTTTTTATATTAGTTTTGTTTCCCTTCCCTTATGTTCATCTGTTTTGTCTCTTAAAGTCCTCATGAATGAAGTCATGATTTTTGTCTTTCTCTGACTAATTTCACTTAGCATAATACCCTCCAGTTCCATCCATGTAGTTGCAAATGGCAAGATTTCATTCTTTTTGATTGCCGAGTAATACTTCATTGTATATATATATACCACATCATCTTTATCCATTCATCCATCGATGGGACATTTGGGCTCTTTCCATACTTTGGCTATTGTCAATATTGCTGCTATAAACATGGGGGTGCATGTGTCCCTTTGAAACAGCACATCTGTATCCCTTGGATAAATGCCTAGAAGTATAATTGCTGGGTCGTAGGGTAGTTCTATTTTTAGTTTTTTGAGGAACCTCCATACTGTTTTCCAGAGTGGCTGCACCAGCTTGCATTCCCAACTCTCTTCATCTTCTTATAAGCCCACCAGTCCTATCAGATTAGGACTTCACCTGTATGACCTCATTTAACATTAGTTGCCTTCCCAAAGCTCCAAATATAGTCACACACAGGTTTGGGCTTTGACACATTAATTTTGGGATGACGACTCGGTCTGTAGAAATCTAGGAAATTTAAAATATGTACACATAAAATTTTTTTAAAAAATTTTACCTGCTTTTTAAAGAGCCTAATATGGGGGCAGCTGGGTGGCTCAGTTGGTTGAGCATCCAACTTTAGCTCAGGTCATGATCTCACAGTCTGTGAGTTTGTGCCCTGTGTTGGGCTCTGTGCTGATAGCTCAGAGCCTGGAGCCTGCTTTGGATTCCGTCTGTCTGTCTGTCTCTCTCTCTCTCTGCCCCTCCCCCGCTCATTCTTTGTCTCTCTCTGTCAAAAATAAATAAATATTTTTAAAAAATTTTAAAGAGCCCAATATACACTCATGTGTTCCACATAATTTTTCTATGATAGTTTTTAATGGTTGTGCATAATTTTAAAGTTCTTTTTGGAGTTTTACTACTGTAGTTTTAGAGTTATAAACAATGCTTCTAATAAGCATACAAGTTCCTTTTTTAAAGAAATTGAAAATATGGGGGTGCCTGAGTGGTTCAGTCGGTTAAGTGTCTGACTCTTGGTTTCAGCTCAGGTCATGATCTCTCGGTTCGTGCGTTTGAGCCCCGCGTGGGACACTGACAGTGTCACGCCTGTTTGGGATTCTCTCTCTGCCCTCTCCCCCTGCTCGCTCGCTCTCTCTCTGACTCAAAAATAAATGAATAAACATTTTAAAAAAAGAAATTGAAATTAGGATTTGAATTAATTTTTCATTGCTGCTGTAAAAAATTACCACAGATTAAGTCCTTAAAAGAACACAGATTTATTATTTTACAGTTCTGGAAGCTGTAATCAGTTTCACAGGACTAAAACCAAGGTGTCAGCAAGCCTGCGTTCCTTCTGGAGGGTCTAAGGAAAATCGATTTTCTTGCCTTTTCTAGCTTCTAGAAGCTGCCTGCATTCTTTGGCTCATAGCCCATCTTCAAAGACAGCAGTGTAGCATCTTCCAATCTCTCTGTTTGCAGTCTGTCTCAATTGCCTTTTTCCAACTCTGTGTCCTGCCTTCCTTTTATAAGGACACTTGTGATTACATTTAGAGCCCAGTCAGATAATCCAGGATAATTTCCCTATCTCAAGACCCTTAATCACATCCGCAAAGTCCCTTTTGGCATGTAAATTAGCATTCACAAATTTTAGAATTAGGTTGTAAATGTTTTGGGGGAGCCATTATTCAGCCTCTCACTTCATTTGGTAACATTCAAGAAATAATGGTCCTTGGGTGATAAACACACTGAAGTTTGAAAAGCACGGAGACAGACATTGCCATTTTTTAACTGTTTTCATAGTCATTCCCATGGGAATGAAGGATATATAATATATGTACATATATATTATATATATAAATTATATATTTATGTATATGTACATATATTTATATATTTATTATATATAAATTATATATTTATAATATATTATATATTATATATAATATACAATATATAATAAATATATATTTATATATATTTATAATATATAAATATATAATTTATATATAAATATATAATAAATATATAAAAGGATATAAAAAGATAGTTCCTGTTAGGATGTCCTTGGAACCACAGTAGAGGGGACGGCCATCTTGCCAGCGCAACCCAACGAAAAGCCCCTAGCGGGGCACCAGAAAGAATTGAAGGTCAACCAATCACTAAGCGACGGCATGACCTGCCGCGAAAAAGGCCCACCTGGACCTAAACCCGGAACCGCTGCAGCTTAAAAACTCCACCCCATCCCACCACACCCAGGCGTGACTTCCCTGACTCCTCTCTCTCTCTCTCTCCCTGAGTCCCAGAACCTCGCCCGAGACCTTAGTTCCCAGTAAAGCCTTTGCTAAAATTTTTTAGCTTCTGACTCTTATCTTTACCCTGCCTTACACCTGACCCTAACAGTTCCTTAGCTTTTTGAAAGCTTTTTTTTAAAGACTATTATTCTTTCTTAATTATAAAATATACAGAAGTATAAAATTTTCCCCCGGTCTTTCGTTTTAACTCATGATGTGATAGAATATCTATCATTCCACAATTTATATGTGTATTTGGCACCTAATGCTACCAGTAAATTAGTTAAAAGTCTCACCATCCATCTTTCATTTTGAGGTTAGGCAGTGTGGTAAATCCAAAAGATTGTATATTGCCTTTTACTCTTTATTTTGATTTTTTTTTAAGTTTCTTTATTTTGAGAGAGAGAGAGCAGGTGAGCAGGGGAGGGGCAGAGAGAGAGAGAGAGAGAGAGAATCCCAAGCAGGCTTTGCACTCACGGTGCAAGAGATCATGCCCTGAGCTGGAATCCAGAGTCAGACACTCAATGGACTGAGCCACCCAGGTGCTCTGGCTTTTACTCCATTTAAATGCCATTGCTATGATCACTCTTTCTGGTAATTCATATATACACATTGATATATTTGCACACACACATACAAAACATTTATTTCCAAAATATTTGTTAAGGCAATTCCATGTTTTGCAATGCCCTGGCCACAGTTAGTACAACACAGGCCATTAATAGTCTACTTTAAAAAGTACTCATTCTGGGGAAAATAAACAAATACTAGCAACTCAGAATTTGTTCTTTTTTGAGAAACTTTTTCCATGCTAATGGACTTGGAAAATAAATTTTATTTCAAAAAAGTTATTAAAGGTATAAAATATAATAAGGTATAGAATTAAAAGCTCAGACACCCTAACTCATGACTTTTGTTGTTTTGTTTTCAGGATAGAAGCTTAACATTTCAATGCAATGATTATAGACTTTTATTGCTAGAGGAAACTATAGAGATCATCCCAGTAATATCTTTAATTCATAAATCTGCAATATTTCAAACATGCAGTAGGTTTTTTCTAAATTAATTCTTTCCTGATTTTATAACAATTTATCCTTTTTTAAAGTATCTTTTTCCCAAAGTATTATAACTTTTAGCTTGAATTTGCATAGTGCCTTATGATTTTGAAACACCTTTACATAATTTAATTTGATCCTCACAGCAACTCTGTAAGGTAGATGGGATAGGATGGTTCGTCTGTTTTAATTCCTTCTTCTATTCATCCAAAGCCTTAACACATGTACACATTTAACAACTACTTGTTGAATGAATAAGTATTTCAAATAAAATTTAGAATAAATTCTGTTTTTCTAGGGCGCCTGGGTGGACTGAGCCAGCCAGGCACACTCAATTTTTTTTTTACTTTTAAAAATTGTGATAAAATAGATATAAAATTTGCTATTTTAATCATTTTTAAGTGTGCAATTCAATGACATTAACTGCATGCACAGTGTTGTATAGTCATCCCTATTTCTAAAACTTTTTATCACCCAAACAGAAACTCTGTACCCTTGAAGCAATAATTTTCCATTCCACACACTGCCTTCCCCCAAGCTCCTGGTAATCTCTAATCTACTCCATTTCTAATTTGCCTATTGTATGCATTTTATTTTTATTTTTTATTAATTTATGTATTTTTATTTGAGAGAGAGGTGGGGTGAGGGAAAGAGGAAAGAGACAGAAAGAGTATTAATTAGGCTCCATGCTCAGCATGAACCCTGACTCAGGGCTTGATCCCATGACCCTGGGATCACAACCTGAGCTGAAATCAAGAGTTGGTGGCTCAACTGACTGAACTATCCAGGCATCCCTGTATTTTATATAAGTGGAATCATGCAACATTTTGCCTTTTATGCCTGGTTTATTTCACTTG